CTGGTAGACACCTGCTCCCAGTGATTTCCTTCGCCACAGCCTTCCACAATCTAATTCCAAACCAAAAATCGCCCAAAAGAGGTCCTCCCCGTACGCCCTCAGACTCTCTATAACGTCGCTTTCGGAATCCGTAAAAAGAGTCTGTGAAGCAGCGTCCTCGAGAGCCTCGAAGAAGCCGATCTCTCACCTCCCTCTCACCTCCCACGGGTCCTCTGCCTGGTTGATACCTGCTCCCAGTGATTTCCTCCGCCACAGCTTTCCACAATCTAATTCCAAACCAAAAATCGCCCTAAAGAGGTCCTCTCCGTACGCCCTCAGACTCTCTAACGTCGCTTTCGGAATCCGTAAAAAGACTCTGTGAAGCCGCGTCCTCGAGAGCCTCGAAGAAGCCGATCTCTCACCTCCCTCTCACCTCCCACGGGTCCTCTGCCTGGTTGATGCCTCCTCCCAGTGATTTCCCTCGCCTCACCTCCCTCTCACCTCCTCGGACTCTCTAACGTCGCTTTCGGAATCCTTAAAAAAGTCTGCGCAGCAGCGTCCTCGAGAGCCTCGAAGAAGCCGATCTCTCACCTCCCTCTCACCTCCCACGGGTCCTGTGCCTGGTGCCTGGTTGATACCTCCTCCCAGTGATTTCCCTTGCGAGCCTCGAAGAAGCCGATCTCTCACCTCCCACACGTCCTCTGGAGTATGATTTCTCCCTCTCACCTCCCACGGGTCCTCTGCCTGGTTGATACCTGCTCCCAGTGATTTCCTCCAGCTTTCCACAATCTAATTCCAGACCAAAAATCACCCTAAAGAGGTCCTCCCCGTACGCCCTCAGACTCTCTAACGTCGCTTTCGGAATCCGTAAAAAGAGTCTGTGCAGCAGCGTCGAGCACGCCCTGTCTTCCGCTTTCGAGCCTTCAGCAACGCTTCAAGCCGCCTGTTAGCTACGCTCCACGGGGCCGATCTCTCGCCTCCCACGGGTCCTCTGGCTGGTAGACACCTGCTCCCAGTGATTTCCTTCGCCACAGCTTTCCACAATCTAATTCGAGACCAAAAATCGCCCGAAGGTGCGCTTCCCGGTACGCCCCCAGAATCTCTAACGTCGCTTTCGGACCCCGTAAAGCAAGTCTGTGAAGCAGCGTCGCGCACGCCCTGTGTCGGCGGATATATTAGTATGTAGATGAAGAGGGCTTGAGTGTGCCAGTGCTTTGTTTCAGCAGTCTTGGCCGGCCAAGTTGAGCTGCGTCTATGATGTGCTGAGTGTGCTGAACAGCCTTGTTCTGGATGCTAAAGCGTTGCTGCCTCATTGAGTGATCGGCCGGAACATTTCACCCACACAATTGGGTCTGGCCAAAATTGGGTGTCCCAAGATCCATTAGTAAAAGAAACATAGGCCAACATCTGGGGTGTCCTGGTCTTAATGAGCAAGAGACCTTGTGACCTTGGCCAAGGTTTGCAGAGACATCGCCAGCTTCCGAGGTCAATGCATTACAGTTGTTTGATGCTTGTATCATCAGAAAAAAGTAAAGGGGGTGAACACAAAAGGGGGTGAGGTTGCAGGCAAGAAACGCCTAGAAACAACCAGAACACCCTAGCTTGAAAGAGTAAAGAGGTTTGGATGTGAGAGGGGTGTTCCATAAGGGGTCGCCAGGTATGTGGATGAACCATTCTATCAGAGTTTCTTGAGGTTTGTTACAGGTGTTGTTTCTGCATTTCATTTCGATAGATCCAAAGCTGTGGTGCGTGATTCTGAAGACTCCATAGCGTGACACATAAAACCAACTTATATGTATATATATATATATACTCAAACATTGTTTTTTTCATCACTCACCTTGAGAAAAACGACTTTCTGGATTCCAATTCTACCAAGGCCAAGGCCACACACCTGCCCAGCATTTTCCCAGATTTTTCAATATTTATACAGTTTTTTCCAGTAAGAGAGCACACCCCATTTAGAGCTCACACCATAAACTTTTTGCTGATGATGTCAGGCATTTAGCTTGTTCTGCGCTTTGACAAGCATCTCCTTTGTTGTCTGCGGATGGTCTGGTGTCATGCGTGGGCCTTATCCTTGTCTAGTTGTATTTGCCAGTTGTGAGATTCTATTCTTGCCCTCCAGTACAAATTCATAGTATTCTGAGCATGCTTGAAACGCATGATAGGCACCAAGCTGAGACGCATCTTCGCCTATACCTTGCACCAATCTCAGTACAAGAAGATGGATAGTTTTCTCTCGAGTTGCAGAGGACAAGTGATTGATAAGCAAAATCAAACCATTGGAGGACATGCTTGGTAAGCTTTCTGGAGTCCTAGTTTTACATTGGGTCTGTTACAGTATGTTGCAAAGTCCACAAACAACCTTGTTTGCATATCCTCGTGGCTGCTGTATTTGCGACTGACTTTTTTCCTCGCCTTCCTTCTTCTCAATTCTTGGCTTGCAAGTGTCAATTGAAGAGCGACAACTATTCCATCAGAATTTGTTTTGTTTGTCCATCTACAATTAGTGATGCGTGATGAGGCCTATTTGCTGGCAAATCTGGGACTGGACACCATAATGGTGGCCTTGTCACTCTTGCATACAAGCTGCTCCCAGCTGCTGCCTTAATCCTGCAAAAGGATGAACAGTTCTGGAACTCTTGCAGATGAAGTTGTCAGCTCAGGTTGCCTGGAGGCAGTACTGGCAGTGCCTCCCGCCCATTGTGCGTGACAATATGGCAAGATTCAGGTGAAGGCTGACCTGATCAACGTCTTTGGACAGATCGGATGTATAGTACTGACAGTCTGCCACGATTCAAGGGTGCACTCGCAGTAAGTAGCTTGCAGTATATAACTAGCTTCCACAGACATGACAGACCATTCAAAGCCAATAAAACTTGAACTTTGCTGTTAAAAGGCTTTCCTAGCTGAGCTGTTCTGTTTGTGCACATTTCTTTTTTGGGTAAATTGTTGGTGGAGCTAATGCTTGCAAGCATGTGGCCCACATTTCCTGACTGGGAGCAATGTGGAGACATGCTGGATGGCGCCGCAGCTGGATGCTCTTACCCAAGAGGCTTCGAGTCAGCTCACAATTCACAACCGTTATTTTGCTTGGCTTCTACAATTGCAGCGGCAGGTAAAGAAATTGGGCATGCTCCTGAGAGCTTCATGGAACGCTTTGGTTTCCTCCATAGTTTGGTATTGAGGCTTGCAAAGCGCCTGGGAGCAAGCTGTTTACTTGCTGGCAGAAGCCCAGAGCATTTGGGCTGCAAGGCTTGTATGTATGGATCTGGGAGTTGACAAGGCGAAAGGCCATTTCAGCCCAGCCTTGATCAGTTGTAGTGCAGTTCTGGCTGGGATACCTATCAGAAAATAATGTATCCTATCCAAAAGCATTCGTTCGTATTAAAAAAGTTCCCTCCTCCTTTGGTCCTGGTCTGCTGGTTCCCTGGTCGCTTGGTCCTTTGGTCCCTTGTCCTGGTCCCTTGGTTCCTCTGGTCCTTTGGTCCTGGTCTTCGGGTCCTTGGGTCTGGACTTTCGAGGCATTTCATTAAGGGTGATTTGGACATCTCCTTGTTACTACTAGTAAGGCACTTGTTACTACTAGCGTGGCACTTGTTACTACTAGCGTGGCACTTGTTACTACTAGTACTACATCCTGTGAAGCACTTGTAGCAGACCTTTTATCACCAGACGTAGCAGACCTTTTTTGTGAGCCACCCGACGGTCAAGTTTAGACGAGGATGGTGCCATTCGAAGGTAGCAAAACCTTTTTGTAAGCCACCCGAGGACAAAATTTAGAAGAGGAAGGAATTCCAACGTTGCAGACCTTGTTCTAGCCTTGAGAGGTTGAAATTTAGAGGAAGAAGTTCCATTCCAATGTAGCAGGCCTTTGTTTTGTGAGCAACCCGAGGGTAGAAGTTGCTATTCCAACATAGCAGACCTTTTGTGAGCCACCCGACAATAAAACTTAGGTGCCACGCCAAGGTAGCAGACCTTTTGTGAGCGACATTTTAGACCTTTTGTGAGCCATGCGAGGGCTACATTTAGAGGAGCAGACCTTTTGTTTGCGTAAACTTTAGAGGAGGAAGTGCCGTTCCAACGTAACAGACCTTTTGTGCGCCATCCACAGGTCTAGAGGTCTTGAGATTCAGAGAGGTCTTGAGATCCATCTACGGTTGAGATGCAGAGAGGTCTACATTTACAAAGGTCCAAAGGCCTGGAGATCCAGACCTAGAGGTGTAGAAGCCCACATCTAAAGATGGAGGTTTAGAGGTCTTGAGTCTTGAGATCCAGACAGGTCTTGAAATCTAAGTTCTAGAGGTCTAGACTTGTAGATTGTAGAAAGATGTAGAGGGCGAGATTCAGAAAATCCCAGAAAGGTTTTGCGATGCAGAGAGATGTCCAGAGGTCTTCAGATCCAGAGGTATCAAGAGTTTTTTTCAGAGGCGTCGAGATCCACAGAAATGTGGCGCCTGCCACGTAATCTGCACTTCGAGGTTCACAATCGCTGCGCCTGAATCTGCACTTATAGAGGTTCAGCCAGCGCCGTGCCTGCCACGAAATCTGCACGTCAAGGTTCACGGTTCCAGTGCGCAAAGTGCTGTGGCTGTCACGAAACCTGCAACTGAAGGTGCTCAAAGTGCTGTGCCTGCCACAAATTTGCGAATCAAGATTCATATCGCGCAGCCCTGCCAAGGCGGTTCACAAAGACCAGGCGCAGCTCTTTGTGAAGGGATATTTTATGATGATTTTTGATACAAATTATATAGTTTTCTTTTTGATAAGATATTAAACGTTTCATTTTTATATTCTAATATATATTGAGGAGTAGTCGCCCCTCCCTAGGGGCCACGAACGGACACGTCTTTCCTGCCTTGGGCCGAAGGTTCCTCGATGTCACGGGTGGACAAAGCGACTGGTAAAACTCTAAAGCTTTCAAAAGTTCGAATCTCCACTGAGGTTATAGTCGTGTCATGGATTGAAAGCCATTCTTCTTCGGGCAGCCATCTCGGCCTTTCATCTCTCATCGCAGCTTACTTCTTGAACCGGCGTGGCACTGTGCTGTCGGGAAAACGATCGGATGCGGTCTCTGCCAGCTCGGTGAATGCCAACAGATAGGCGATCATGTCTTTGATTGGAGGAGACATGTTGGCGCGATCTTTCTGTGCCATCAGCCATCGGCTGTAGTTCACCAACTCGGAATCTGGGGAGGTTGCCAACTCCGCATAGGACATATCACGTTTGGACAGTTTGCCGGTGGTGATCAAAGTCTTGCCCCAGTGTTTCATGGAGGTGTTTTCTTGGGGAGCTCTATCTTGCTCAAATCCTTGGTGCCCACTTTCAACATGGGTCGCTGGGAGTGCACATGAGCGTCACTGGGACCATCGGTGAAGCGGCGCTTGACCGAGTCATTCATGGATCCTCCGGCGTGTTGATAGCCACCGGATGATACCACCTCAAACTCACTCGACTCATGATCCATCAGCTCATTCAAAAGGATGTGAGCTGATCCTTCTTCTTTGACCTTAGTCAGAAGCTCCCTAGCTGCTGCTGAAAGACGATCGGGTTGACCGGCCATCTGGTCGGGAGGAAACTGCCGGAAACAAAAACTGAAAATCCGCGTCACACCTCGGGCTTGAGAGCAGTCTGCAATGATCGAACAAAAATAACTCGTGACGATTGGCTCACACAGTCTGTTCCCTGAGACTGATGTCAAGAGCCACGGTTATGGCACTGCAGAAACACGAGCGAAATGAAACCCGAAACCTAACCCCAACTACACATGCACAAGCTTGCGCTGCTCACAGTACCCTAAAGCTTGACCCTCAAATTCTAGACATGGACAGTTTGTAGGTCCGTGTCTACCTTTTTGGTTTTCGGACTGGAGGCCTTTCGAGATGCCTGGAGACTTTTCCGATATTCTTTTTCACGAGCTTGATATTCAAGAACTGTCTCTTCTGGGGATATTTGATACGCTGAACGTTTCATGCAAGACCGAAGCAAATCCACGGGATCCCCGTCGTTCTTAGTTAAGGCATCGGCTATCATTCGATTTGTTGGAACCCACCTAACAAATGCGGACATGTCCTTGCAACTCTCACGGATGATTACAACATCTATGCTGGTTCTTCTATCCTCAATAGAGGTAGGTGATGAAGGAGAGTGCAAATGATCGTATAGGCTCTTACATTCGGTAACGATGATCGGCCGGCGTCTTTTCAACACATCTCTGCATGTGCGGATCGTCAATGGCCCGTCGAAAATCTCAGCCAGCATCAGCATGATCCACTCTGTGGTGCCGGTTGCTACTGCCAAAGCTTGACTCTCGGCCGATAGTGTACTACTAACAGCTCGGTGAAGACGATAGCTCTTCCATGCTGCAGGACACCATGTTGTTTCTTGACCATCTTGTAGTGAGATATCAGTAAAGCCTATTATATACCCTGCTTGAGTATGATTACCTCTGTTTGCAAAAGCAGCATCACTATGACAGACTAGGGTAATTCTACTGGGTTCAATTGGCTTGAAGATCACACCAAGGTCACTGTGCTGTTTCGCTCTTCGGATTGCCTGATTGGCCATGCGAAAGTCTTCGATCTTTGGCTTGGGGAAAGCCTGTTGTGATAGGCTTGTTTGGACGCTCAGGTCCGGACGCGACTGAGACGACAGCCATCCCAAGCTACCATTCACAGCACGCAGTACTTTGACTTGACTGTCAGCCAAAGGTTCATCTGGCGCACTATTTTTCGGCACATTTATGGGGCGAATCTTTTTGGCAAAAGAATCCATGTCCATGCGGATGGCACCATCTGGTGACTGGGTATACCATGCTCCACAGAACCCACCTGACTTCACACGCCATTTGCGATATGGAAAACGGCTCTTGAGTTGGGCGATCGACTCTTCGAACACTTTTCCGAAACCTCCGACGGCCGTGTCATCAACGTGAGCTCCCATGATACCAATCAGTTGGTTTGATGAATCGCGAAGGGAGAACAAGCATGGATCTAACACACTCTGATGCCAGTTAAGACCCTTAACAAATGAGCTGAACTCTTTGTACCATGCGGCTGGAGCGTCATTTTGACCGTAGATGTTGCCTACTACTTCGATTACCGCATCTTCTGGCAACCCTGGAATACCCCCCGGGGGCTGACTTGCATAGAGAGGCCGAAAGGCATCATTGAGGGGTCCAGCTTCCAAGAAAGCCCCCCCTTTGATGTCACCGAGCTGCAGGGTCCATCCACACGAAGCGATGGTCTGCATCAGACACATGCGTCCAAGTTGACTCAGCGTTGGAGACTTAAGGAGTCCCATTTCAGCCTTCTGAGAAAGGTCGGGGTCAAGGTGACCCTGCAAACACCATCTGCCTTTAACTGTGAACGTGTCACTGTCCAGAGGATCTACACTCAGACCTTCTTCCAATGGTTTTCGAGTCAACACGAACCGGCTGCCGATGAAACGGTGACTTTCTTCTTGTTTGATACGATTGGCCTTGTTGCCATAGTGGATTTTGACAGCATTTGGTTTAGACAGAATTGTCTCCCACTCAGCCCTTTTACCCTCTTGGACCTTGGCTTGTGAACATCAGGAGGATTATTGCTATGGGGAAGTTCTTTGCTCATTTTCTTTTTCATGTATTCAGACATGAGGCATTCCCATGACTGCTCCTGAGCGCTGATCAGTTCCTGGACTTCCTCTACACTCAGCACTTCGGACACACGTGGCTTCGAAGCGGCTGGCTCTTCTCCGGATGGCGATGCCGGACGTTTGTTCTGATTGAGATATGCGTCTTCGACCAGTTGAGGAACTATTTCTTTCATCATATCTACAAAGTCAGACTGACGAAGAGCTGGCGGCCGCCACAAGGCCATCGGTCCATCTTAACCGAGCCAGGATTTGGATCACTACTGGACGAGTTGACTTGGCTGGAACTTTCAGCTGTTGGTTCACTGACTTCCACCTCCATCTTCTCTGGGTGAGGCGCCGAGACCGCATCACTTGGCGGTGCAGGCACTGCAGGCATTGGATCGCTAACACGGTGGTCTGGTGGAGACTGTGCTTCAACAGAGCTTGAATCGGCGTCCTGAGATGGATCTACAGGTCCTTCTTGTGGGGGATACGACTGTGGGAGGAGGTCTATATATTGCTTGCTACGCAGGTTGCCTCCGTCTATGAGATCCTTGATACCTAACATCTCAACATCAGGGGAAGCAATTAGGCCTTCTCCTCATTGGTGGCTGGTCTCAACTGCTCTGGAGCACAACGCAACACCTGTCGGCGGTGAACGATGACCACATTGCGACCCACTTTCCCAACAACAATAGCCACTCCATACCATTGCCCCCCTTGTTGGAGTTGCCCTTGGATCCATTTTTGATTTCTCCAATATGCTACCATGTCCCCAGGATTAAACACCACTGCAGTTCTAGGTCTGGCCAGTAGGGCTACTCTGAGCGCACGATCATCCTGCATTTGGATCAGGGCCGAACGGGCGGAGGTCCGGAGAGCTTGCGCGCGTGCAATGGATTCATCCGTCAAGGAAGCTGTCGCTGGCACCACCTGCAATGGTTCATTCAGCAAGTCCTGTGGTATATGAGGGTTTCGACCAAACACAAATTGGTACGGTGAAAATCCATGAACCTGCAACTGTTGGTTTTTCACATGACAGTGTGCCACACATTCAAGCCATTCCTCTTTTGTGGATGGTGAAAACTCATCAAGAAGTTTTTCAAGAACGCGATTGAACCACCCTCCATGAGTTTCGCATTTACCCAATTGCCAGTGGGCTCCGGCAGCGATCGGTCGAACGTGAGTACCCTCCATTTCGGCGGGCACGACCATAGGGTCACCGAGGTTTGTCTTGGCTGGATCTAACACGACCTCTTTGGGAGAACCGGCCCAGGATGTCCAATGATCGGTGAACAGCTTCCTCAGGACACTTGCGGTCTCAGTCTCACAGAAAGGAATCATCCGCTGGAAACTGCTTGCGGAATCTACGATATTTAGGGCCTTTACCTTTTGATTAGGCAGCCATCCTTTAAGGTGCTTGACATCTAATCCCACTTGTTGATTGAACTCGGTAACGCGGTTCGGCTGCGCAGGCAATGGGACTTTCGGCTTGATCTGGCTCCTGCAAAGTTCACGCGTGAAGGACTTGGCAAGTCTAAGTGCCTGATCGCTAGCTTGACCATGTCGAAGAATTCTGACCAAGTCATGATTGGGAGGATGACCCAAATTGCGATGCAGCTTGTCCAACACAGGAATCAGATCACTGTCCGGCTTTGCTTCATTTTTGCCTACCGCAAGAACTTCTGGCCAACTGGAGTCTGGCACGTTGTCGTCGATCACTTCCAGGTGACTAACACATGAACACTCAACAGGAGGCTTACCTTGATTGGACATCTTCTGACCAAACCATTCCACGGTGTTCAACACGGCTCGGACGAATTTTTCTGGGTAGGCTCCGGCAAACTCACTAATGCTAGGAACTCCAGGTGCTCCCCCGGCGACGATGTCATGACACTGATGATTACCCTGGTGATCACACAAAAGCCCTAACCCCTTCATGTTATCATGCGAGACCAGAAGGCGAGTGCTCTTGCGGATGAAACGCTCACTCTTGGGCAATCTCAAACCATACCTGCGCATGTGCAGCTTCACTGTGTGGTATCGTCGGCGCAGGGTTTCTATTTCAGGATATTGCCAGGTGTGAGCTCCGGTAGGATGTTCAAACATCACTTGACACCCGAGTTGAATCCCCATACGAAACAACTTGCAACACCATCTAATGAAGCTACGGCTTAAGGCTTTCCTACGCAAGACTTCGAGACGATCCCATTTCAACATGTTCAGATTAAACAACCCCCTTCGTTAGTACACGGAGGGCACAGGACGAGCAATGCTGGCGGATCGTTGACGAGATCCTGCTCGACTTGTCTCCTGTGTGCATTCGTTCGGAGATCGAATCCGGTCTTCAGGTCGTAGGATCGAGAACGAAAACCATGTGCCTCAGCTTCCTTAGCAAACCTACGTGGTGAGAAAACTTCCATAACTAAACATCGGTCTTTCGGTTTGTGGGTGTGCACAGCAAAACACATCTTGGCCTGGGTATGCAACTGACGAGCCTCACGCGGTGATGGGTTCCATTCATCAACACTAGCTACAGCCTCTCCCAAGTAGGTGAATTCAGTACGAACGTGCGGAAAACGACGGAGCAAACGAACTATTGTTTTGTGTTGAGGGCTCCCTGGACAAATCCGTGTATCATCAACCACCTGGTTGGTTTCTATATCAAACGCACGTCTTCGAATCACCTGCTTCCACCGAGGTCCAGAACGAGACAGCCATGGTGTGGCGGAAACGTCACTGTTCTCCTGAGTCCAAATGGAGACAGGCTCATCTGCTGTCGTCTCAAATCCGCAGTGAGCTGCGGCTCGAGCGTCATGATTTCGGTGAAGGCTGCGGCGCTAGTTTCTTTTGGGGAGAGAAGATCCATCACATACTGCCCGGCACTATTGGTTTTCAGGGGAACGCTTTGTCCAAACACATGCAAGCAATCATTCTGAAAATCCAAAGAAGCACCAAGGGTCTTCAGGGCACTGCGACTGATGAGGAGAGGAGCGTCTCCTCGGATCACGGCAGCTCTGATGGTGCCCCTGCGATTAGCCAGCGCAACAGGCATTTGCACGGATTGATGCGAGGTCTCAACGTCGCCGTTTCCAAACTTGAACTGATGAATCTCTGAGACCCTTGATGGAAGGGTCCATCCACGTTGAAGCCGCAAACGCTCGAAGCTCTGTAGGGTGGATGCTCCGATGACAGTTCGGCCACAACCAGAATCAATCACTCCAAAGCCAGGGGACGAGACCAGCAAGACTTCGTCTGGGGTCATCGCCTTCTCCGTCGGTGACACCTGACGGAACCGACTGTGAGCTTGTTCCAAAAGAGTTGGAGAGGACATCACAGCGGCCACAAAATCCAGCTCTTCCACTACAGCTGCGCCTGAAGGAGCCGATCCAGAAGCATTCGAGCCCTGGTCGGTGCCTTTGCTCTGACCTTTTCGAGTGTCTTTGGACCTGCATTCTCTGGCCCAATGACCACGACGACCACACCTGTTGCAGGTTGTATGCCGCTTCATCTCCTCGACCTCCACTCGAAAGGCCCTCTTCGCATCTTTAGACTTTTGGAATTGCCGGGTCTTTTGAAGCTTGTTCAACTCTTGGCGTCGTTCTTTCCACGACGCGGCCAGCACCTCTGCCACTTCGGCCTCGTTATAGGCCTCTGCATCGCCAGCCCAATCTGAGGATGACTGATGTTCTTCCAACAAACGCTCCACGTCCGAGAACTCTTCTTCCCAGTTGTCCAGTGGGTCAGTCATGTCCTCAGTGGTCTCCTCTGCCAATGCTACGGCTGTTCGCCGTTTTCCAATCACCAGATCGGGGTAGCAAGAACGAAGAGCAGCAGAGACTGATTCTCGTTTGAGATCACCACGGGCGCGTGCAATCACTACAGCCTTTTGTTCTTCGCTGAGGCCTGCTCGACGCAACAAAATCCAGCCTCGAGCTTCGTCAGGGAACTGAACTCCTGTTTTGAGGTGGCATTTGTCAAAAAGCTCTGATGCACGTGCTGACCATTGCTTCATATTTTCTCCTTCTTGAGATTTCAGGTTGAACACCTGACCCAAGGTTTCTCCAAGCTCATCGACAACTTCCTGTTGTGGAAAACGCTTGTCCAATAGGTTCCACAGAACAGCATCACCATCCTTCTTCTGATACTGATCCGGATCCAGGTGCTCCACTGCCTCCAATGCTTTCCCACTCAACAATGTATAAATGAAGGCTCCACGAGCAGTTTCCGGAAGCTTGTCCATGGTCATGAGCTTGTTCTTCACCCACACTTTCCATCTTTTATATTCTCTCCCATCTTCAGTCTCGCAGAGAACACACGAACGGGTGCAGCGTCCGACGCTGCGGCCGACATCGACATGTCACGGGTGACGATCCTTACCGAAGGATCAACAGCAGCACATGGCTGCGCTACCAATTGCGGAGTAGTCGCCCCTCCCTAGGGGCCACGAACGGACACTTCTTTCCTGCCTCGGGCCGAAGGTTCCTCGATGTCACGGGTGGACAAAGCGATATATATATGTTTGTTTTTTTGATAGTCCGGCCGTTCTGGCTTGAGAGAGCTTGTTGGTGCTGTTGATGTGCAAGGGCATTCCTGCAAAGCATCTATACAGCAGATGGTCCGCTACTCCACCCTTTTGTTGCTGGAAGTCTGTTGATGTGAGGTTCCCTACAGCTAGATGTCATTGCATTTGGCGCTGCCATTAGCGCCGACCTTAAATGCTCAATTATTCAAGAAGAGAGGCAGAAAACATGGAAAGCATTGGACACCATTGGATACCTTTGTGTTTCTGTTGTTTGTACTTTTTCGCTTCCCCAATTCAGACTTCTCAGGTGCGTGCTCGAGAAAGAAAGAAGCATGGCCGTTTGCTTTGCATCTTTTGCACGACGCAAAGGCCAGGTCCAAAGGTGTCGTGCGAAGTCCAAATCGTGCAACCGGAGTTTTTCAAAGAACAATTGTGTACATGACAACCGTGAGATGAATCGCTGGTCAAGACAGCGACCTTCTGTAGCTTGATACTTAAGCGTTTTGCCGGAGGTTGCTGTGTCAGTTCATCAAAACCAGAAGCTGCCAAGCTCATTGAACGTTCTGTTGAACGAACTATACTTGACCAAACTCTTGCAGTGATGTTCATAGTCACACAAGCTTGCTCTGATGTAGAGGTTCGCTTCCCGACAAATGCAAAGCTTTTGGGAGCTGCCCTGCTCTAAGAGGGCATCAGTGATTTGAATGGAATGAACAAAAGAAGGTAAGGGTTCCTTTCATAAGGCCTCTTTAAAGAAACCATATCATTATTTCAGGGGCCCTTACTGACCTTACCGTCCTTTTTCCAAAGGCCTGAAGAATCCAATGAAACACTAATTGCATGGAATTGTAATCTAATTCCTTGTTCCTCTTCGAACTCGCGCCCACAGCCTGCTCTTATCGATTTGAGACTCTTATCTCTTGCTACAGGTTTCTGTAGACAGCGACAGTGAACGTCTCCAAACAACTCTCTCATTCCCTCGGCTTCTTTCACTATGAACCAATCTGGCGGCAAGCCCGTCGAACCCTTCTTTTTGCGAGTCAAGTGTGTAGCAAGCGCAGCCATTGCCACATTCTGTCCGAGGCCATTTCTGCATGCGGTCGAGCAGAGAGATGGCAGGAGGCTACAAGCCACGGAGATGAAAGCTTGGTTCTGCAAGTGATGCAAAGCTTGGAACGAAGGCCTTGGAATTGTTCTCGGACGAGGAGGCGAGTCTAGCGATTTGTTGCTCCTTTGATTTCTTGTACTTGATAGTTCCTTGAGTTCTGCTAGCCAAAGGCACCGAAGAACGCTGTGATGTTTACTGCACTAGTCAGTGCTTTGCCATCAGCTCTGGCCTCATCAAGTGGCACTTATGAGCACGAAGAACTGTTTGGAAGCAAGTCAAGATGCGTTGTGTTTTGCAGACTCCTGAGTTTGGGGTGTCCCACACACGCACACTCTGAGCCGAGCCCTCTTCATGTCCAAGACACTCATCGTCCTGGAAATGCCTACTTGATCTGGATCTGCTATATATACACTCCATGAGTAAAATGATTCAACATCTTGGCCAAAGATATTTCTGATTCAACAGATTCATGGGCTGCAACAGCTAGCCATGCAACAAATCAGGTCTTCGATGGTCTTCAGTCTTCAGGAATGGCTACGGGTCTTGTGCATTCATGGCCCTTTAACTACGATAGTTTTGGTTTTACAGAGGATTGTCTTTACGGAACCTGTCTACTTCATTTAATCTGTGGGAAAGAAAGCAGTCTGTGGAGTCAAAACTAGGAGGTGGATCGCAATAGGTCCATAGGGGTCCAGAACTTCCAACAGGCAATGCGGCACAAAGCTTTATATCTCTTGTCAGGCTCTTCAATCACAAGCCACCCTTTCCCCAGATGCTAAAGTCTTTTCACGCACTTGGATGCATTTACGCGTGATATTGTGCGCATCGCATCCATGATCTGCATACCCCATATATATATAATGTATGGGTGTATTGTAACACAAGCAGGATAGTTTGATAGTGTGAGCAAGTGAAAGTGAGGGCGTGTTTCCGAAGGCAATGGCAGAGATGCTGGTCGAGGCGGGAGTCAGACTGTTGAAGAGATCAAGAGGATATGTATTTGTACCATATATTGTCTATGTATGTATGGTATGGTATGGCATGGTATGGTATGGCATGGTATGGTATGGAATGGAATGGACATGAATGTAATGGTATGTAATTGTATGTATGGATGTATGGATGTATGGATTTATGTTATGTATATAAGTATGTATGGATGTATATATAAAGTATGTACGTGTATGCTCTATTTTTTCACGGACTTTCTGTGCCACACGGTGCTCATGCGAAAAGGCGCCTAACATCCTGTGATCTTGGATCCGGACAGGGCTCTTTGAGTCGGCGACTTAAAGCCACATGGTCCTCTTTGCCTCGGCCTTTGGCCTGTCAGCGAGAGCATTCTGCCATCTGTCCTTGTCGAACCATAGTGTGAGTGCTGTGCCCTGTCCACATCGAAGGAGGCAAAGGGCCGCTGTGGCATTGAAGCTGCCTTCATTGGCTCTGCCAGGACGTATGCTCTGCTTTGGTCACACTTGAGGTATGCCTTGTCCAACCTGAGGAAATGGATGCCAGGCACCGGTCTGCTGGTTGACCAAGTCATGAATGAACACCATGCGCGGCTTTTTGTACTCCTTGGTTTTGAGGGGAGCTTGGCACGGTCTCTGACTGCGTTCCTTGAGCTCGGACAAGAGGCTTTTGACGTGGAACTTGACTGTGCACTGTCCACATTGTGCTCCACGACGATGGGCTTTCGAAGCATGTCCGTCGCCGGTGGGGTTTTGGAGGAGGTCAGCAATGATGGCCTTTTTCCCGAAAGCATTGCGAAGGGTTCTTCCGGAAAATCCTTTGAACACTGACACTTCGACGCTTACACTTCGACACTCACACTGACACACACACACACACTGGAAGAGCGAAAGCATCCAAGTGCGAAGTATGCCAGTGTCAAAGTATGCAAGTGTATAAGTATGCAAGCATGATATGCAAGCGTGAGTATGCAAGCATGCAATGACTATGCAAGCATGCAACAAGCATGCAATGAGTGGGCAAGTGTGAATGGAAAACTAGCGCGGGAGATGTCCTAATGAAAAAACATTTCCCCACTTTATAAATTCTCTTTTCAAGGCGGAGGGCGGGACGAACAGCGTCAACCGAAAGTGCAACCCTCTGCGGAGATCGTGCGTGTCGAGTGCGCGAAATGCAGGCGAGAGTGCGATTTGCCGCTGTGCGCGCAACCCTCTGCGGAGATCGTGCGTGTCAAGTGCGCGAAATGCAGGCGAGAGTGCGATTTGTCCGGTCCGCGCG